AATCGGTCGTGATTATTATCGAGCTGCCGCGCATTGAGAGACCGGTACGGAGGCTGCAGGACAATGCATCCCAATAGGATCTTAATCCGCTTATGCCAATATGCCCTTATATCACCTTAAATCCAGCAACAAATAACACCCTAACAATATATCCTAACAAAATTTAATTTTTACACTCGATGCAACAAGCCGAGAAACTGAAATAAATATCGAGCCATTTTCTATTTCGCTTTCTTTATTTTTCACAAATAAAGAACTTGATCACGAGCCAAGGCGTAATTGCGAAAAATCGTAGCATCTCGCAAAAAAGGATCGTTAATGGATCATATATCCATGTCATAATTCGAAGGAAGAAACGTGTAGTCTCTGGCAAGATTTCACATTTCTAAGCGGTAACTAACGAGTGAGTGAGGTTAAATATCGTTTTTCTCTTCTAAAAATCGACGCGAAAATAAGAAAAATAGAAGGAAAGTAGATTAGGGCGGTTTTCTAAAGTAATTGATAGCCTTCCCGTCAGCGATATACAGTTCTGATCAATGACAAGCCTCCGCTAGTCTACGATTTTTCGCTTCGGCGATTTCACCACCTTTAAGGCACTCATCTAGGAGTCGCGCCAAAAAAAAAAGCGTCGATTAAAGCCGCCAAACGACTTGATTTATGATACTGTCGCCGGAGGGTGAAGTGTGTGCAGAATGCGCGCGTACGACGGAAAGGCGTTTCTCTCTTTCTCTCTTTCTCTCTTTTATGTCCTAAAAATGCGTCGAAAAGTTTCCCTCCGCCACATCTTAAGAGTGGCAGTAAGTCGGCGGTAGTAAAATCGAAATTCGTTTCGACTCTTCGATTCTTCCGCAAAATCATGCGCGCTTCCAAACCTACTCATAATTTATCACAAATGTATTCCCTCTTTATTTTTCAAAGTTCTAAATATATAATAAACTAAGCGAAAAAAATCGTTAAAATCAGTTAAGACAAATTATCTTTAATTTTTAACTTGATAAAATTAAAAGACGGAAAATTTGAAATTACGGTACTATTTGACCTATTAAGAAAAAACACTCGAGGAATTTTTATATCAGAAGTTTAATCGAGTTCTGATTTACTTTCGAGAGAAAGAGAAGCGTTTATTATATTGTTGTAAAATTTTCTTAAAGCGAAAGGAAGAAAGAAGAAAGAAACAGAGACAAAAAAAGAAAGAGACAGCCTTCCTAATTAAAAATTTAAGATTATATAATTCGAAAGAAAGAAAAAACTCGCACGTGATATTTCCTTTTGGGGAAATGTCAAAAATATTTTTTATAATCTCATAAAATTCATGTCAGGAATTTCTATATTAGCAAATTATAAAATTTGGAAATTTATTAATTGGAAAAAGAAGAAGAGAACAAATTGGGACTCAATTAAATTTTCGGCATGTTCGGAAATTTACTTGCAATAAGTTGTTTACGACAGTGTTCGAAACTTTCTTGCCGTCTACGTTTTATTCTCTTGCGTAGCGAAGTAATTATTGATCGTACGGTAATTAGTTTCGGCGCGTGTAAGCCCAAAGTTTTTGGGAGTAATTATAAAACTCGAAATAGTTCTCTTCCTCTTCTCAAGCCACGTTGGATGCCACGATTCGATTTTTTTCACAGCGATTTATACGTGCGTTTTTCGAGTTTTGCAAATTTATTCTTCTTCTAAATCTGAAACGATTAACAACGCTTTTGAACTATATACCCGAAATCAACAGAAAATTTATTTAAATTACTTAAATTAGACGAAACGAATTCAGATTTTGTCAAAAAACGATCTTTATATATTTTTTATATATACTTGAAATATTTTTCGCATCTACATAAAATACGAAATGCCGTGAATGCCATTTATTTATTATAAGATTTTAAAGATTATAGGAACAAAAAAATCCTTTGGCATTAGCGCTCAATTAAATATGTAAAGCTGGCGGAAAATTACAACTAAGAGGTAATACGTATACGTTTGCTTACCAGAGCGTTCCTGACAGCTACCAATTTATCGCCGACAACGAGGCGGCCGTCCACCTGAGCGGCCCCGCCGTCCATGATTTTGGTTACGTAGATTCCATTGTCGCCTGGTATATGTTGGTTGCCGATACCGCCGGCGATGCTGAAGCCCAGGCCCTTGTTCCCCTTGATCAGCTCGATCTCCATCAACTGCGTGTGTCTCCGTCGGCGAACATACTGTAAATCGATGCGCGCGAACATGACGTTAATTGATCTCGGCGTCGGCATCGGCCGATCGACGACTCAATTCGGACTCGAGTCGAAGAAATTTTAACGCTCGCCGAAATTTTAACCTCGCCTTCGTCCGTGCGATTTGATAAAAGATAAAAAGAGACCTCGGCGCCGCTCTCGCTCTCTTTTTCATTCCCGAATGTAACAATGAATCTTCGCGCAATTAAACGCGCCCGGCCGGTGGCTGATCGGGAAGATATATCCTCTTTCAAACTACTCTCTCCGTTTTACCCGGCGAGATTTATAAAGTAAATTTGTTCCCGTTCGGCGCGGATTCTCTCTTAAAGAGACCGTTTAATATCACCGTTAAGGCGGCTCAGTACGTTAATTAAATTCTGCACGGAGAAATACAGAAATATTTTGCGCGATTGATACGTTTCACCGCGTGACGCGAATATTTAAATCATTTATTAAAATCTAAATATCTTTTTCCCTTTATTATTTTTATCATCGACTTTACACTGTACTGTATAATCCTACTGCAAATAAGAATAATGTAATTTTTTTACAATTGCATTAGTGTATAATAATTAAATCAAATTAATCGTTTGATTACATGGCTGCCTCTGAACGAGGGTAATTTAATAATTTAATAAATTGCAACGATCCATATTGTTGGATACTTAAAAAGATTTACGTTTGATGCAGCGATTCGTTTTTAATGTCGAAGTAATTGCGAGTTATCCATAAATCGGAATTGCAAATCGGATTTGCAACGGGCGTATTTCTGTCCTAAAGATGCGTATTTACGCGCAAGCCAGGGATAGCTGTGACTTTATGTCAGAACAGTAATATTCAAGATTCAAGTTCGGTCGTAAACGCTTTTACGTCTTCCTCATCCGTTATTTCCAGTCCGGAGAGTTAATAACGGCGCAAATGCCAATTCGTGTAAACCCTCGAGTACGTCAAAAATCTCCGGCGATCATTAAAGAGGTTGTTACGCTTGAAATAATTCACTGGCTGATGTTATCCCATTTAAATTTTTAAAAGCTCGAAATGCAATCTTATCACTTGGGAAAACGCTCGATTAAAGCTTAATAGTCGTCTTTCATTTCTCGCGTTAAGCCGCCATCGGCTTTCCCCCCCTTCGGAGAGGAAACTACGAACGGCAATCCGCCTGGGAAATTTTTTTTTTTTTCCAAGGTTGACATTAACGTATATCGGAGAAGCACGTAACGAACGATCCCATCGAAACTTTCCCTCATCCTTTGGCGACTTTGCTACAGGAATCTCGAAAGGCCCGGGTGAGTGATCGTCGCTTCGGGACTTTCCTCGGGCATAAGCCGAAGATATTCGACGCGTCTTTATGACAAATATGGAATCCACGGAGGAGACCGTCAATCCCGCGGAACTTTCTAGAACTCGAAACCGCCGTGAAACCGAAAAGATCGCGAGTTCTTCGACGGAAAAATGGAACGAGGAAAGCTCGAGGTGGCAAAAAAAGGGCCAAGTGGCGAAAAACACAATGCGTAGCGCGCATTGTGTTCTTACAAGTATTTAATTGTTATTAAGATATTAGGATGAAAGTTGAACGTAGCTTTTCATCATCACGTTCTCCGACCCTAAGTAAATGATATTAGAAACCGAGAAAGCTTTAGATTTTTTATTTCTAGAATTTATTTAACAAATTTAAGATCCTTCCTTTGTCATCAATAACGTCATCGATCCGGATATATGTATTTAGTTAACGAGTTTGACGACAGATGCTCGAGCTGCAGCGATATTTTTTCGTATTCGACGAAATGACGAAATTGCAAATATATTACGTATAAACAGTGACGATACACTGGTGACGATACTGCCTAATATACACTTAATTAAGCACTTTGGCCCGCAGCTATTGGCAGGTAGAAATTGAATATGCATGCACGCAGGGTGGGTTTAACATTAGAAAGCATTACGCATTACAGCATTTGCAATTCAATTATTCCCGACACATTCGTCGCACAATTAAATCTGCGCACTTGAGATGTGCATATGATGTGGCATGTGATCATAGTAACAATGTGCTGCCACTGCACGCGCATACGATTCAATTAAATTCGGATTTGAGATTTGCATACGTCAGTTTGCATAGGATACCGTGCACGGTGCCCTTAATGCGTCAGTTAACGTTAATCATTAGTTGAATCTTCCTTCCCGATGTTTTACCTTGGATATTAGAATTTACAATTGGATACCAACTGATATTGCAGTAGCGCGCGAAGAAAGATGTCAGTTTTAAATCAAGACTTGAGAATATTACAACTTTCGTAGAAACATTTTAAAAAATTAAATTAAATATACATATATATATGTATATATAATAAATTAAATTTTTCTTGATTCGATTGAATTTGTATTGATGCAGGAATGTTATAACTTTCACACAAAATTTTTAGTCTCGAGTAATTGAGCAAAAGTAACATCTGCATCAATACAAATTCAATCAAATAAAAATTTAATTTCTCAAGAAGATTATAATATTCTTATTTATACAGGGTAGACCAAAGGTTCCTAAGTAATTTTGATTTTTAAAGAAAAATCAATTATTCTTTTTCAAGATTTTTTTAGGCCAATTTTCTTTCCATCAAACAGAGTTATCGTAAAGATAAAAATCGGAAATATTTACTTTTGACACCTGATGCCAAAAGAATGCCTTCGTTCTTTATAAAATTTTCTTGTAATTAAAATTTCGATTAAACTTTCTCAAATCACTTAGGAACTTTTGATCCACCCTGTATATGAGAACAGTTTTTCTTGAGTTAATACCATTTTTTACAAGGTTTATTTTTTTTCATAGACAATTACAAAAGTATTCCGTACTCGTGTTCCAACTAATGATATCTCGATCGACCAATAGATTCCTTTTAAGAGAAAAAAAATATAGAAATACACGGTACGTGTTAAACTTTCACCCGATAATGGAACTCCTCGTGAGGAGTCTCGCGCAGCAAAGCGCGATCTCGCGCGAGATAAGAACGACTCCGGTACGCTGGTATCAGTGTCTATCGAAGACCAAAAGGACCGGAAGGATAAAGGGTAAGGCTTACCAGTTTGACGGTGTTGCCCGCCCGCTTGAGCGCGTCCACGGCGGCTGCATGCGGTACGTCGACAACGGACACGTCGTTCACCTGCAGTATCGTGTCGTTGACACGCAGCCGGCCGTCCGCGGACGCGGCGCCGCCCGGTATGAGTTTAGTGATGTAAATGGCGGTGTCGTTGCCATAATGGGGATTGTCCGTGCCGCCGGCGATACTGAAACCAAGGCCCGCCCCGCCCCGCTCCAAAACGATCTCCTCGTACTCCCAGTCATCGTCGCCGTTCACCTGAAAAACGTAAACACAGTGTATTCAGCATTCACTTTCGATTCTTCATCTTTCTTTCTCTCTCTCTCTCTCCCTTCTTTTCATATTTCCTACTTTCAATTTTCTACTTTCGGTGCAAATTTTACCGAACAATTATTTTTCCATTTTTTTTTGTTCAATTTTCAACGCTCTACGAAAAAATTCCTTTTAAGTAAGATCAGTGTTTCGTCTGAATCCGATTACAAAATTCTCGCAATGCTAATTTATCTTTTTTTTTTTTTTTTTTGACGTGAATTTTCATTAAATTTATTTATTATTTTACATATTTATAAAACTTCTTCAACGAGATAATTAAATCAAAATAAATTTGGCGAAAAATGTCAAAAAAGATAAATGAACATTGCGAGGATTACATAATCATCAAATTCAAAAGGAACATATGATCTTTGTGTAAAAGGAAAGAATTTTTTTGGAGAGAGTTAAATTATTAACAGCAAACCCATGTTGCACGAAATGATACAAAATCCACAATCCTAATTGTATGGGAAACTTGAAGCCTTCGTACGCCAGAGGGAGTTAAGCGGTTAATTGATTCTGAGACCTCGCGTGAAAGCAGATTAGATCTTACACTATCTCGATCGATGGTGGTCGGTATGGGAGCTAAAGAGCGTTATTTAAGCTCTCGACACTACCTGACACCATATATTACGAAACGCCCTATTTTTATATTTTTCGTATAATGCGTATAATGCACTTTACTAATATCACGTGATCAACGTGTCAAGTAACATTATAAGTTGAAAAAACTGATGACTAATAAATGATTTAATTTTCTATAATAAAATAATATGATATGAAAAATTGTGCCAGCCATTCCAATATTAAAACAAATATATCTATCATACATATATATATATATATATATATATATATAATGACTTCTACAGTAAATATAGTTTGATTAGTTAAACAAATTTTGGTGAAATATGAACGATTCTGAAATTCCGATAGAAATAACCAAGTTCTTGTTTAAGTTAACTAGAAATTTGGCTAGAATTTTGATTGAGTTTAGACTGAATTCTAATAACTTCAACCAAAATTTCTAACTCGTTCATATTTCATTAGAATTTGGTTCAGCCAAACAAACTATATTTTCTGTGTGAGCACTTGTGTATGAAAGTATGCGTAAGACTTCAAATGTATGGATATGTGAAAGTTTGCGTTTATGTCCAATCAAAAAATCCCCACCATCATTAAAGCCATCTGGTGATGCAAAAATAACAATACAGAGACACGATGATGACCAAGATGACAATTCTTAATAAAAAATATATACATTTTAATTTTGCATCATAATAATCTATGCCCATAGGACAAATAAAAAAAAAATAAAAAAATTTTTCTAACGCAATTCAAACCCAAATTATCGATTAAACATACCAAGAGTTTTTTTTTTCGAACCAAACATACTAAGAGTTTTTTTTGTCGTTTTTTGAAATCAATCTCTACTCGCAACTAATTCGCGTAAAGATACACGATCTCATAAAACACACACTTTAACACACGCAAACACTTGGCGCAAAACACTACCCGTATTTCAAAAAAAAATATCATAGAAACATCGAAGAGAACTAAAATAATTCTTTTCAATGGTCCAGCCAACTAGGACAAAAATATCCCGCATCGTCGACACCTCGGAGAGATTTCAGAGAAAAGAAAAATAGATCCTCCATAAGTAGAGTTTCAGAGATGCTTATTTAATCCCCCCACATAAACTTTATCTCGTTATAAATTTTTAACGCGTGTGGAAAATTCTGATAGGCATGGTGATGTCTAGTAAAGAAGCTCGTTACCGAAACTCGAGTATATTAAAGGCTCCGTCCAATTAACTTTAGGCAACATTAACACACGCGATATCGTTTTAATATTCCGTAACGATGGAATAATTAAAAAAGATCGGTCGACCATCGCGCTTTTAAGTTCCGCATCAAAAAAGTACTAAAGGTAAAGTAAAGCTAAGGTAAATCAAGATGTAAATTATTATCACACGGACAGAAAGAAATAAAATTTTTGTGTAACATTAAATTTGCTACCAAATCACGTCAAAGTGTTTACGTTTCTTGTGTTAATTTATCGCACAATATTTGCGTGACTTTCTAACATATTCGCCCTGTGTGTAAAAATTCGAGTGGGAAATGTGTTATATTTACAGACACAAATTTTTTTATCGTGTAAGGTCGTTCAGCATTAAAAAAAAAAAAAAAAAAAATACCCTATAGTAATAGCTGATTGCATTAGCGGAAAAAACGGAAAAACTCGAGTGATGATTTCCGTTATACGCTCAATGAAATAATACGAATTTCCCGTAGAAGAACCAACTGCCGAAGGTTCTTCACGCACGTGCGATCCGCGCAATGCAATTATGCGTGATCCATTGGAGTGCAAAACCATTTTAATCGGATTAAAAGCCAACTAAGCCGTAGGATAATATGCTAGAGACACGTTCTCGACGACGCGCCGCGTATTCCTGGATGCATCGTGCTATTATTTCGTATATACGCGCAATTACGATACGATACGTTTCAAAGCGACATTAACGATTTAACGAATTTGGCTGAAGCTAAATGAAAATTGAACTTACAGACAACGTTGGTTGTTGCAAATTATGTAATAATTGCTATCATCTAATTGACATTACGTGTCTTCTACACATTCTGAAAGATTTCTTCGCATTACCATTCCTATTTGTTTAAATAAATAAAAAAAAAAAAAAAACGTAATTTTATACGAAACATTGATTTGTTTTGATAAAGATGAAGTGATTCTTTTCAAGGCGAGTCCCCAAAATAGGAAGCCCACGAAATAGGAGGCTTTGAGATAGAAAGGTAAAATTATTAAATGTTATTTTGATAGTACAATTGTTATTTAAGACGAGAAAAATTTTTTTATAAAAATTTAATCGTTTTTTAATCATTTTTTAGGTAACTTGATGTCTGGAATTTTTATTAATATACACATATTATTGAAATCATAATGCATCGCGCGCGCGCGCGCGCGCGCGTGTGTGTGTGTGTGTGTGTGTGTTAAATGAAATGATGCAATTACTTTTATTGAAATGATGAAACTGTTCGAGTCAGAAAAATATTTTCTTTCGTGTAACAGTATTTATTATTTAAAAAAAATCAAACGATTATGTTTTGCTCAAACGATGAATTAACTGGACTTACTTCAAATGATAACTTTATTAGGATTAAAAAAAGCTTAATAAATCTAAAGACATATTTCTCTTTGTGTTACGGTCAACTGCGTGTATCTCAATTGCAATTTTCCAAGTGTCAACAAATTGAAAAGATCCACGCTTATTGAATAGAATCTGTCATAAAAAATCGTTAGGCAATCACGGGACGAAAGATGTAACGAACAATTTCCTTTTACCAAATCGTCGACATGGAAACCATCGAGCCTTGAGGTCGATCGAATGATCGAAAAACATTTTCAGAGAACATGTCCCCTCAGACGCAACACGGGGTTAAAGACCCCGCCGCGCCGCGCGCGGGCCGATCGTCATCGCAATTATACGTCCATCCGCGTACATGCCATTCCAATCATGTTCGTTGGCAGCACAAACGGATAGCATGGAAGGCGAAAGGATCCGTGCCTCAAATTCTCCTCCCCCCCCCCTCTC